CCTTTCCTATCTGTCTGTCTTTCTTCCTCCCTCTCTACCTCTCTCTCTTTCTCTTTCTCTCTCCACCTATTGATCGGTTAATCGATCGATCATCTACAGGTATCTATTTATTTCTAATCTATCTATTTCTGTCTGTGTGTGTCTATCTGTCTCTCTCTCTCTCTCTCTCAACCTACCTACTTACCTATCTATCTATCTATCTATCTATCTATCTATCTATCTATCTATCTATCTATCTATCTGTCTCTGTCTGTCTATCTACTTAACTATCTCTCTATCTCTATCTACCTATCTCGCTCTATGTCTGTCTATCTACCTACCTCTCTCCATCTATCTATCTATCTATCTATCTATCTATCTATCTATCTATCTATCTATCTATCTATCTATCTTATCTGTCTGTCACTACCTACCTACTTACCTACCTCTCTCTCTCTCTCTACCTATCTACATAGTTACCTATCTGTCTGTCTATCTACTTAACTATCTATCTCTGTCATCTATCTACCTATCTCTCTCTGTCTCTACCTACTTATCTACCTCTATATGTCTATCTCTCTGTCTATCTATCATTCTATTATTCTATCTATCATTCTATCTATCATTCTATCGTTCTGTTGTTCTATCTCTCAGATGTTATTACCCAAAAGGATGCCAGCGATTCAATTTCAAGCAATGCAGTGGTGTCATTGTGCATCACAATAACCACAAATGGCTTAATGGGCCATTTTATGTGGAGGGAGGAACAGATCCCTCTCACCCACCCCAAACCAGGCTAGTAAATTCAGGTCTCCTTCTTCTCAACCCGGATGGGTTCTCTGCTGGTTTAGAAAACCCCCACCGTTCTAGTTATAATCTTGGCAGTTCTACTGGATTAAGGAAAGCTGTTACACAGCTCTTCCGTTTCAATTCCTGTCGTTTTTTTGGATTCAGACAGGAAATGTTACTGGCCAAATATTGTTTAGAAATGGAGTCACTTTCCTGGAAAAGCCCTCAGTTCTGCGTGGTACTCACTTAAAGCTGTACTAACATCTTGTTTGTTGGGACATTGGCTTGCTTGAATTGCAAAGGAGGAAACAGTTAAGCAAGGTAGTTGCGAAGTAAGTCTTGCCCCATTTTACAACCATCCTTGCCACAGTTGTTAAGTGAATCATTGCAGTTGTTAAAGTTAGTAACACAGTTGTTAAGTGAATTTGGCTCCCTGATTGATTTTGCTTGTCAGAAAGTCTCAAAAGGTGATCACGTGACCCCAGGACACTGCAACTGTCACAAATACATGCCAGTTGCCAAACATCTGGATGTTGATTATGTGACTCTAGGAATGCTGCAAAAGTCACTTATTTCAATGCCGTTGTAACTTTGAACTGTCCCTTAGATCAGTGTTTCCCAAACTTGACAATTTTAAGGCATGTGGACTTCAACTCCCAGAATTCCACAGCCAGCGTTGCTGGCTGTGTAATTCTGGGAATTGAAGTCCTCATGCCTTAAAATTGTCAAGTTTGGGAAACACTGCCTTAGATAAATGATTGTACTTGCAAAACACGCCGTCCTTTTAAATATGCCTTTAAATTTTAATTTCTGGGTTTTATTACCCTGAAAAGAAGATGAAGGAATATATATGCTACATTTATATAATTTTTGTTATATTTACTATGAGGAAATATAAAATAGATAGAAACCCATGGGAGTCCATATCATTTATAAGCAATGACCGTACAAAGCAACTCGGTGGCTTAAGGCACAGACTCAGGAATGAATTAATGTTGAATTGTTTGACCATTTGTGGTAAGTAATTAATTTAGTAAGTAAATAGTTGGAAATGTTCAGCTGAGTCATCTTGAACTTGGCAATTCTTTTCCATTTTTTGCGGGAGTTAAAAAAAAGGAATGTGGAAGTGTTGCGTTGGCTCCCTGTTCAAATTCACTGAGTTGTGAAGGGAGATTTCTCTCTCTCTCTCCCTCTCCCTCCATATCTCTCTCTCTCTCTCTCTCTCTCTCTCTCTCTCTCTCTCCCTCCCTCCCTCCCTTTCTCCCTCCCTCCTTCCCTCTCTCTCTGCTTACCTACGTAGCTACCTACTCTATCTGTCTGTCTACTTAACTATCATCTATCAACCTATCTATCTATTTGTTTTCTGAGGTTTTCGCGGATGTTTGTATGTAGGTCTTTGGTTGTTCGGGTTTTCTCCCGCGTAAAATTGGAAGTGTCTTGGCGACGTTTCGATGAAGTCCCATTCGTCATCTTCAGACTGGTGTTTTCTGTGCTCGAAGCACGAAGCTGAAAACACCAGCCTGAAGATGACGAATGGGACTTCGTCGAAACGTCGCCAAGACACTTCCAATTTTACGCGGGAGAAAACCCGAACAACCAAAGAACTATCTATCTATCTATCTACCTACCTACCTACCTACCTATCTATGTATCTATCTATCCTTCTATCCATCCATCCACCCTTCTATCTATCTATCCATCCATCTATCTATCTATTATCCATCCATCCAGTAGCTCTCAATACAGCTACTTCTTGATTTACAACCATTTGCTTAGTGAATATTCAAAGTTACAAGGCACTGAAACTCGTGACTGCTTTTCACACATAAAAATCGTTGCAGCCTCCCTGTGGTCCTATGAACAAAATTCGGGCTCTGGCGTGTATTGACCATGGTTGCTGTGTCCCAGGGTCACGTGATCTCCATTTGTAACCTTCCCGTTCATCTTCTGACAAGCAAAGTCATATTGGGGAACACTGGATTTACTTAATAGACTGCAGGATCCAAATCTGGGTCACTCACCAGGACCGACCCAGATTGGATCCTGCAATATTATCCTGGGACAGGGATAGGCAACCTTGGCTCTTTTATGACTCGTGGACTTCAACTCCCAGAATTCCTGAGCCAACCACGCTGAGGGGAAAGGGAGAGGTTTCCAAGCTGAGCCATGCTGGCTTAGGAATTCTGGGAGTTGAAGTCCACGAGTCATAAAGCGGCCTAGGCCTAGACCAGGGGAGGCCATCTTGGCTCTTTTATGACTGGTGGACTTCAACTCCCAGAATTCCTGAGCCAGCATGGCTCAGCTTGGAAACCTCTCCATTTCTCCTCAGCATGGCTGGCTCAGGAATTCTGGGAGTTGAAGTCCAGAAGTCATAAAAGAGCCAACGTGGTCTACCCCTGTCCTGGGACATATCCTGTATATTTGCCTTCATTCACTTAATGACATGATTCCCTTAATAACTGCAGGGATTCATTTAACAACTATGGCCAAAAGATCGTAAAATGGGACAGAACTCATTTAACAACTGCCTCGCTTAGCAATAGAAATGTTGTGCTAAGTTACGGTTGTAAGTTGAGGTCTATTGTACTCTATGCTGGGAATAAACACTAAGACACTTGGTCTGTGTCTCCATGCACTTTAATTTCACTAAAGGTTTTTAAAAAGCAAGATTAAAAACTAATATAACGTAAGGAAAAGAAATGAAAGAGAAAGCTGATAAGGCAAGAAAGAGGGAAAAATAAAATAAAAATAGAGAAGGAATGAAAAAAAATACAAAGTAATAGCTTCTATTACTTCTATTCTATTACTTCTATAAACACAATTATGAAGTTGCCTCTTTATGGTTACAATATAACTTTTCTTTTTATAATCCATCAGCAAAAATCATGTTCATTTTTTTTCAGTTAAGTAATCCATAAAGAGGCTCCCGTCAACAATAAATATTTTATATTTGTATTATAAATATATTTATATTATATATTATATTTTTTCTAATCAAAGAAGTCAGTTTTAACTATTCCCATCACCTTTAACAAGGTTCCACCATTGTGGGTGCATGAAGTCCTCAACTTACAACAGTTCATTTAGTGACCGTTCAACGTTACAACGGCACTGAAAAAAATGACTATTTCTCACACTTATGACCGTTGCAGCCTCCCCCATGGTCACGTGATCAACATCCAGATTTTTGGCAACTGACTCATATTTATGACGGTTGTCTGTGACCTTTTGACAAAGTCAGTGGGGAAGCCAAATTCACTTAATAATAATAATAATAAAGTTGGAAGGGACCTTGGAGGTCATCAAGTCCAACCCCCTGCTCAGGCAGGAACCTTACACCATTTCAGACAAATGGCTGTCCAGTCTTTTCTTAAAAACTTACAGTGTTGGAGCATCCACCGCTTCTGGAGGGACGTTGTTCCACTGGTTAATTGTTCTAACTGTCAGGAAGTTTCTCCTTAGTTCTAGGTTGCTTCTCTCCTTGATCAGTTTCCATCCATTGCTTCTTGTCCTGCCTTCAGGTGCTTTGGAAAATAGCTTGACTCCCTCTTCTTTGGGGCAGCCCCTGAGATATTGGAATACTGCTATCATGTCCCCCCTCATCCTTCTCTTCATTAAACTAGACATACCCAATTCTAGCAACCATTCCTTATATGTTTTAGTCTCCAGTCCCCTAATCATCTTTGTTGCCCTTCTCTGTACTCTTTCTAGAGTCTCAGCATCTTTTTTACATCGTGGTGACTAAAACAACTGTGACTTAACAACTGCGTTACTAAATTAACAATTGCTCTGTGGAAAGAAAGGTTGTAAAATGAGGCAAAACTCATTTAACACCTGTCTTGCTTAGCAAAATATATTTTGGGCTCCATTGTAATACTATCTGTATTACCAAATCTTTCCATCCTTATCTTCACGCTTCTTCTGAGCTTCTTTATTGCATCTCAGAAACCACCATTGAAAACAAAAAGGTGTTGGCTTCACTTAGGTGCAAAGTGGTTGAGTTCACACTTCTGGGTGGCCGTTTTGCACCCGTGGGACAAAATGATTGCAGCCCAGGAAAAGAAAAAAAAAATCTATATTAGTTCACTCATTGCTTATTCCTTGCAAGGTCAGGACTGGGAAACAACAAAGAAGTTAATTTTATTGCTAGATCCATCTGTTCACTGTATTTGATTTGGCTGTATCTATACCAATCTGCTTTTCATTCAGTAATCAATTTGGATTTATTTCAGGAAGTGAATGCCTTGGAATGTGAGATCCAATTGCTTAAAACCCTTCGTCATGAGAGAATAGTACAATATTATGGCTGCCTCCGTGATCCAGAGGAGAGAAAACTATCCATCTTTGTGGAATATATGCCTGGGGTAAGCTATCGTGCATAGGCCATTTTATTTATTGATTTATTAAGTGTATTTATATCCTGTTGTGATCCAAGAGATTCTTGGTGGCTTTCATAGAATGAAAAGAATACATGGAAAATATTCATGGTATAATTTTAAAACCCCACAGTCATCCATAGGAACTGTATGCAACATTTAAAAAAAAAAACCCACTGCATTATCATAAAAGTTAAAATTAGAAATAAAATGGCAACTGTCCCATCACCCCATCTTTCTGAAATAATTAAATTTTCAGGAGTTTTCAAAAATAAATTAACAATGAGGAGAGCCATTATGGATTTCACTCCCAGAATTCACCAGCCAGTATGCCGCTGGAGAATTCTGGGAGTTGAAATTAATACATCTTAATGTTTCTGAGGTTGAGAAACACTGTTGTAGGGGAACAATAGAGTTAGTCCTTGGCTTATGACCATGGGACAAGAATTTCCATGGCTAAACAAGACCGTTTTTAAGTGAATCACTGCATATTTTATGGACAGTTTGCAATGGCTGTTAACCAAATGACTGCAGTTATTTTATTAACTGAAACACACATTTTTAAACGAACCCTGCTTCCCTCATTGTCAGAAGCCAGCTAGGAAGTCACAAATGGCAATGATTGTGACCCTGGGACACAATCATAAATACATGCCAGTTGCTAAGTACGTACCCAAACTTCGACCACATCACCGTGAGGATGCTGTGGCAGTTGTAGATCACTTTTTAAAGTGCTGTTTGAACAGTCGCTAAACTAATGGTGAGTTATAAGTTTAGGACCCCTTGTGTACGACTAAGTGCAGATTCCAGCAAGCTGCTTTAAACTGAAATTCCCTTGGCCCAATTCACACAATTCACACCAACTCAGCCTAAACCTGGGAATAGGAAAAGAAGGAGAAGGCTGGTCATCACAAAAGAATGAAAAAAGGAAAAAGAAAACAAAGGGCTTTTTCCAACCAGGAAGCACAGGGCCCTGAGAGCAAAGGTTTCCGAATAACACAGATGCTGATATTTGTTGTTTTTTCTTATTCCCCCCCCCCCCAAATGCGAGTGCTTTGGCCAGTCCTAGTTTTGTTTGGAAGCAACATGTGGCATTGTGCAACCCTGGCGAAGTTGGTTCTCATCCAACGTAGGCCTCAATCCCGTTCAGCTTTCATTGGGATGAGGGGAATTGTGTAGCCCACATAGGCCCCCAAATCCCGCCACTTTTTAAGCTGAGCAGAGCAGTTGGGCATCGATTACAGATAGTCCTCGACTTACGGCCACAACTGAGCCCAAAATTTCTGTTGTTAAGCGAGACGGTTAAGTGAGTTTTTACCCAATTTTACGCCCTTACTTGCCACAGATGTTAAGTGGATCATTGTAGTTGTTCAGTTAGAAACACAGTTGTTAAGTGAATCTGGCTTCCCCCGTGACTTTGCTTGTCAGAAGGTCGCAAAAGTGGATCACACACAACCGATCCCAGGATGCTGTGACCGTCACAAAGGTGAACCAATGGCCAAATATCCAAGTTTTGATCACCTGACCTTGGGGATGCTGCAACAGTCGTATGAGTGAAAAAGTCACTTTTTTTCAGTGCCATTGTTAACGGTAAATGAATGGTTGTAAGTTGAGGACTATTTGTGTTTCTGAGGCAAACACTAAAAATAGTCACCTTGGTGCCGTTTGGCTCTTCTGGGAACTTTCCGGCAGCTTGCAAACAGTCTACCTCAAGGAATGGATAAGGAATCATTTTCTCTCTTTTTCCCACTGTGGCCAACACAACTTCTGCTCTGACAGCTAATATGGGTAGTCCTCAACTTATGTCGCTTAGTGACCATTCAGTGTTACAACAGACCTCCCTGAGGTTACTTATGAACTGCATCAAAAGTTCAGAAGGTTTTTCCCTCAAAGTTACATGACTGCATCATTCAAAAGTCTGTCTGCATTTCTGGTCATTTTCAGTGTTCTGTAGTTATGTGGCTGCATTTCACAACGTTTTTGCCAACAACTGGCATTTACTGCGGTTTTCAGTCCGTAACAAACCTTTGATTCACTTAACAACCATGGTGTTCACTTAGCAACCGTGTTGATCCCCTTAACAACTACCACAAAAGAGGGGATAAAATCGGGTTCATCACAGGGATGACTTGATTTATGACAGTCAGGAGTTGTGGCAGTGATGAGCAGGCTCCGTTATAATGAGCTATCACGGAGCCTCCCTATCATGGTCATAACTAGAAAACTACTTGCAATTTCCTTCTTTACTGTCAGCACTTAGTGGGGGTGTGCCTGATTCAAATATAGTAACAGCAAGAGGACCTAGACCAGTGGTGGTGAACCTATGGCATGCGTGCCACAGGTGGCAATCAGAGCCCTCTCTGTGGGCACGTGCACTGTCACCCCAGCCCCACCTCCTCCTGCGACCCCTTCCTCACCAGCAGCCCCCCTGGAGGAGAGTTGCCCCTGGGCGTGGCCTGCATGGAGCAGCACGGCCAAGGACATGGCAGCCAGGCAGCGGGGACAAGACTCCGCCCTCACGCCCCATCGCACACAGTTGATGCTGCAGGGTGCGGGCAGAGGGCGTGGCCGCCATGGCGCTGCTGGGCTGCCTGGGTGATCTGCGGCAGGCCGTGGAGGCAGTGAATGGCCCTGTGGGGGGGCAGGTGGGGTGGAACGGGCAGGATGGGGGCAGAGCGGGGTGGCGGGACAGGGTGGGGTTTGGGGGCACTTGGTCTCTAAAAGGTTCGCTATCACTGACCTAGACTTATATACTGCTTCACAGTGCTTCATAGCCCTCTCTAAGCAGTTTACAGTCAGCATATTAGATTCGTTCAGATAGATAGATAGATAGATAGATAGATAGATAGATAGATAGATAGATAGATAGATAGCAATAGCATTTAGACATATACCGCTTCACAGTGCTTTACAGCCCTCTGTAAGCGGTTTACAGAGTCAGCCTATTTGACCCCAACAGTCTGGGTCCTCGTTTTACCAAACTCAGAAAATGGAAGGCTGAGTCAACCTTGAGCTGGTCAGGATCGAATTACTGGCAGTGGGCAGAGTCAGCCTGCAAGACTGCATTCTAACCCCTGTACCAGTAAGGCTCTTAATGATTATTTTTGCCTTTTAAACTATGGCTAGCGCCCCAGCAGCTGAGAAAACTTTTTGGAAGGTATAGAGTTTTAGGAAGCCAAGAAACTAATCAAATATTGATCTCTTGTGTGTTTTTTAGGGTTCTATCAAAGACCAGCTAAAAGCCTATGGGGCCTTGACAGAGAATGTGACTCGTAAATACACAAGGCAGATTCTTCAAGGTGTTTCCTACCTCCATAGCAACATGATTGTACACAGAGACATTAAAGGTAGGCTCAACATGCCATCTCAGGGGGCGTAGGTCATCCCAAGATGCTTCAAGGACCAAACAGAAAGAGAAAGTTCTCCAACTTGATGGAGCCCGGAATGCAAATTAAGGCTATGATGAAATCCACGGTGCAATTTCACAAAAATTGGCATCCCCCACCATGAAAACGGCTTTTATTTTCCTAATTTATTTGCAGGATGTTAGAGTTTTTCTAAAACGTGCTTCTTGCTAGTCATCTGAGCTGATCATATTACGGGAAGTGAAAAGGGTTCGCTATGATATGGCGTTGTATTATTCTGAATCGTCCTTTGTGGTCCACTTTCCCAGTCTGGGGAACAAACAAGAAAAACAGAAAATATTTGTTAGTGCCGTGTTTCTCAACCTCAGCAACTTTAAGATGGTAGATTTTCCCACGCTGGCTGAAGAATTCTGGGAGTTGGAAGTCCACAGATTTTAAAATGGTTGAATAGTGTTAAAACATTATTTTAACATCTTTCTTTGGCATTTAAGGGGAATTACATACATCTTTGACCCATCTTGTCAGTAAATTAGGGCAAGGCCATCTCAATCTAGATAGTCCTCAACTTACGACCACAATCAAGCCCAATATTTATGTTGCTAAGCAATAAATTTGTTTTGCCCCATTTTACAACTTTTCTTGCCACATTTGTTAAATGAATCACTGCAATTGTTAAGTTAGTAACACGGTTGTTAAGTGAATCTGGCTTCCCCATTGATTTTTCCTGTCAGCAGGTCGCAAAAGGGGCTCACGTGTCCCTGGGACACTGCAACCGTCATAAACATGAGTCAGTTGTCAAGCATCCAAATATAAATCACGTAACCATGAGGATGCTGCAATAGTTGTAAGTGTTAAAAATGGTCATAAGTCACTTTTTTCAATGCCATTGTAACTCAAAATGGTCACTAAGCTAACGGTTGTAAGACAAGGACTATCTGTATCTATCCATCAGAATCTCTTTGAAATCAGCCCCTCCTTAAAACATATTTAAAGCAAATTCTCTTTTATCTCTTTTTATCAAATTGAATTAGAACAAGAAAGGAAAAATGCTGGCCCAGATTAATGTAAGAACTTTTCTAACCAAAAAACAGGAGTTTTATGCCAGAAAGGATATGCTAATTTTTGAGAGCAGGGAATAGAATTTCATTTTTAATGTATGGCAGTGTGCCCATAGTAAAAAAAAATGACAATAAAGGTTATCTTATCTAATTAAAACATGGCTTGCAAATAAGGAATTGCTGCAACATTGATATAAAGGAAATGAATGAGCTAGGCCATGGGTAGGCACCTTGGCTCTTTTATGACTCGTGGATTTCAACTCCCAGAATTCCTGAGCCGGCCACGCTGAGGGGAAAGGGAGAGGTTTCCAAGCTGAGCCATGCTGCTCAGGAATTCTGGGAGTTGAAGTCCATAAGTCATAAAGCGGCCTAGGCCTAGGCCAGGGGTAGGCAACCTTGGCTATTTTATGACTCGTGGACTTCAACTCCCAGAATTCCTGAGCCAGCAGGGCTCAGCTTGGAAACTCTCCCTTTCCCCTCAGCATGGCTGGCTCAGGAATTCTGGGAGTTGAAGTCCACGAGTCATAAAAGAGCCAAAGTTGCCTACCCCTGAGCTAGGCACACACCATATTATTTAGCATTATGCATTTTTAAAATATGGACACATAAGCATATTATTTTATTCATAATACAGATTTTTTTAGTTCATTAGTACCGGTACATAAAGATTCTTGTGTAATATGAGGAAGGTTGTAATTGTTGAAGAACAGGAGTTTTTCACATAATTGGGGACCAACCCCCCCCCCCAAATTGAAGCTGCTAGAGAAAATATGTGAGATTTGTTTTGGATGCTGGTCGAGTTTAGTTTCCAAAAGGCTGCATGTTCATGTGGGTCCCTATTGGCGACAGTATGGCCCTGAATATGCAACAAATATGTTGCCTTGTCATTATTTCAATCTACATTGTATGCAATCGAACACTGACCACTAGACACTTAATTAAGGGAGATGGAATTCAAGATTTATAGTAATATCTTGGCAACTTGCTGCTGACTCTGTTGTCTCCTCCTCCTCCATCTTCTCCTCCTCTTCCTCTTCTGTCTTTCCCTTCTCTTTGTCTATTTTATCCTCCTTCTCCTTCATTTTTCTTCCCCTTCTTTGTCTATCTTCTCTTTGTTGCAATAATAATAATAATAATAATAGAAAGAACTGAAGAAGATAACAAAATACAAAGACCTACAAATAGAAATAGAAAGACTGTGGCAAAAGCAAGCAAGGGTAGTACCAATAGTGATAGGCTCTTTGGGTGCAATCCCAAAACAACTGGAGCACCACTTGAACACCATTGGCATTGACAAATTCGCTATTAGTCCATTGCAAAAGGCGGCCTTACTAGGAACTGCTTCCATCCTGCGACGATACCTGTAATACCATCAAACATCCACATCTGCCTATCCCAGGTCCTGGGTAAGGACTCGATAGTAGACAAAATGCCAAATCCAGTCTGAACATCTGGCTGACTGTGCGATGATCCATAATAATAATAATAATAATGAAGTTGGAAGGGACCTTGGAGGTCATTTAGTCCAACCCCCTGCTCAGGCAGGAAACCCTATACCATTTCGGATAAATGGCTGTCCAGTCTCTTCTTAAAAACTCCCAGTGTGGGAGCATTCACCACTTCTGGAGGCAGGTTGTTCCACTGGTTAATTGTTCTCACTGTCAGGAAGTTTCTCCTTAGTTCCAGGTTGCTTCTCTCCTTGACTAGTTTCCATCCATTGCTTCTTGTCTGCCTTCAGGTGCTTTGGAGAATAGCCCGACTCCCTCTTCTTTGGGGCAGCCCCTGAGATACTGGAACACTGCTATCATGTCCCCCCTCGTCCTTCTCTTCATTAAACTAGACATACCCAATTCCAGCAACCGTTCCTTGTATGTTTTAGCCTCCAGTCTCTTAATCATCTTTGTTGCTCTTCTTCTTCTTCCCTCCTTCCTTTCCCAACTTAGGTGCCAACATTTTGAGAGATTCTGTTGGGAACGTGAAACTAGGAGACTTTGGGGCCAGCAAACGCATTCAGACCATCTGCATGTCTGGAACGGGGATGAAATCTGTCACAGGAACTCCCTACTGGATGAGCCCAGAGGTGATCAGTGGAGAAGGCTATGGAAGGAAGGCTGATGTGTGGTAAGATCCATTTTCCCAGTCCAGCTTTCTTTACAGGCCTGACACAATGGGAAACCAAGGAGGAGGGTGGGGTCCTCTTTGGCTTCCAAAAGTGTTGCAGAAATAAACCCATTTTCCCCCCTCCATGGTCTTCCTCAGGAGTTTGGGCTGCACTGTGGTAGAAATGCTGACTGAGAAACCACCATGGGCAGAATATGAAGCTATGGCTGCCATCTTCAAGATTGCCACCCAGCCAACCAAGCCTCAGCTTCCCGACGGGGTTTCGGAGTACTGCCGCAACTTTCTCAAGCTGATCTTTGTAGAAGAAAAACGGAGGCCCACCGCAGAAGACCTTTTGAGGCATCCCTTTGTGAACTTCAGCCTCTAGCAGGCTTTCCTGCTGGAAGAGAAAGAGAAAGCAAAGACTTCACACCCAAAGAAAGGTGTGAATGACAACAGAGACCTGTGTGATTCTCCATTCAGCCTCCCTTGGGTTGCTTCTGCCTGGGCCGTGTTGTTTTCTGTCAGGCCTCATTGGCTGTGTCTTGTGGTGCCTTTAAGCCGAGCCTCCATCTTTGGTCGTCTGGATGATCAGTGAAAAGGAGGTTTTGGCAAACAGTTGATGCCGTTAATAGAGCTCCGTGTGCCTTGTGAATATTGACAGATTCTCTGCTTAGGTAACTTTCTGATGAGAATTGAATGGATTGGATCTGCCACTAAAGAATAAGATGAAGGAATCTGGTAGATTCTTGATTTAGAACACTTGAGTAAAATTGATGAAATCCCAATATGCCCTTCAGAACCAGCTTGGTTGTTGTCTGCCAAAGGGGAGCTCAGAGAGATCCCATTTCCAGGATCCTTTGAAAAAAGCTCTGTAATTCATAGAATCACTTACAAAATAACCACCTTGAATAAAAACGCTAGAGGAAATTTAGGCGCATAGGGGGCCTCTCCACAAATCTTTGACTCTAAAAAAGAAGGGGGAAAAAAAGTTATATCTCAATCGCGTGTTAAATATTTTGTTGAAACCACAGATGGCAGTTGTCTGCTGTTGCTAAATTTCATGACTTATGTTTAGTTTAGTTAGAATAATTAACCAGTGGAACAACCTGCCTCCAGAAGCGGTGAATGCTCCAACATTGGAAGTTTTTAAGAAGAGACTGGACAGCCATTTGTCCGAAATGGTGTAGGGTTCCTGCCTGAGCAGGGGGTTGGACTAGATGACCTCCAAGGTCCCTTCCAACTTTATTATTATTATTCTAAAATCACAAAGTTGTTAAAGAGGGCAGACCCCGCTCCTTGCTTCGCCCACCATCGTTGCAAATTAAATAAATTAAATATCCTTAGGCTTGTGGTCTGAGGGTTTCACAAAACTCTCCCACCCACCAAAAACAGCATTCTGCGATTATTTATGCATAAGATATCAGCATTAACTTCATTAATGGGTTGGGTGAAGAGATGGATTCTGTGACTGAGTGAAAAGTTGCTCTTTCCCACAAAATAATTTGTGATCAACTTATTTATTTATTTATTTTTAAACAAAGTAGATACTTAACTTTAAAAAAAAAAAAAACTACCACAACAAAATTTTCCAGGGAGGAATAGTTTTCCCTGCTGGATTAGCTGAATGCATCAGGTGAAAGAAATGCCCATTTATTTCAGCTTGATGAATGAGAGAACCATTCAGTCTAATACAGGGGTCTTCAAACTTGGCCTTTTTATGCCTTGTGGACTTCAACTCCCAGAATTCCTCAGGCAGCATGCCTGGCTGAGGAATTCTGGGAGTTGAAGTCCACAAGCAGGAGTCTTCAAACTTGGCCCTTTTATGACTTGTGGACTTCAATTCCCAGAATTCCTTAGCCAGCATGCCTGGCTGAGGAATTCTGGGAGTTGAAGTCCGCAAGCAGGGGTCTTCAAACTTGGCCCTTGCCTGGCTGAGGATTCTGGGAGTTGAAGTCCACAAGTCATAAAAGGACCAAGTTTGAAGACTCCTGGTTCAGTCTAATATGACAACTGCCTCAGTTAATGTAATGACAGAAGTTAAGATTACCAAATCTCTGCCCAAATCCCATTCAGATCAGCATTGCCTGTCCTCAGTGCAGTGACCCAAGCATACAAATATTGTAAAACTGTGAAAAGGACAGAATAAACAAGATTAAAACCTTGGAAGAGACAATTTTCCATATGGACAAGTGAGCTTTCAAGGCCAAAAGAGATCAGATATATCAAGGAAAATAGGTCTGGATCGGTGCTAAAAGAAAGCAAATTATGACTTACAACCATACTTGCGACTGGGATTCCCAATGTATGTTCGTGCAGTCGTAAAACAAGTCATTACATGACTGGGTCATTTTTACCATGGCGCTAAACAAATCCATCTGTCCCCACTGATTTTTTTTTCCTTTTTTTCAGAAAGCAGCTGGATAGATCGCAAATCTCAGTCAGGTCAGCCGTCAAAATTATCTCATTTGCCAAACACACTCAAATGGTGATCATGAAAAGCAGGAGTAATAAATGGGAAAAAAGATCATAAATCACTTTTTTCTGAGGTTATTATAACTTCGGTTAAATGAATGGTCATAAGTCAAGGACTTTTATATACAAAGCTACCAACCCACCAGAGCCCAAATTATTCTCTGCCATTTTTTCTTGATTCGTGTTGCAAATTGCTAGTTTGAATATTTCCCAGAAAATCAAAAATTCCTGTGGTGGTATAATTAATTATATTTCCTTGCCACTGATCCAATTTCTGAGGTAAATCCTGTGAGATTGAAGTCCTTGTGTACTTTAAGCAAATGTGTATATCTTAACAAATATTTCACTTAATTTACATTCTGGGCTGATGAGAAGGCAAGATTTCGTTGTCTTGTTTTGCTTTGTTTGATTCTTTACTCCCTTGTGCTTTCAGCACAAGATCCTTAAAATAAGGGGGAAAACATATTTCGTGGGCTATTTTTACAGTGATTAAAAACTAAAACAAGCAGAGATTGCCGTGATGAATTTATGCATTTGGGGGTGATTATATAGTACAGATAGTCTTTGACTTAACAACCATTCATTTAGTGACTGCTCAGAGTTACAATGGCACATAAAAATGATTTATGATGGTTTTTCACACAACTGTTGCAGCATCCTCTGGTCCTGTGGTAAAATTCAGACTTGGCCACTGACTTGTGTTTATGATGGTTGCAATGCCCTGGGGTCATGTGACCAGTTTTTGCAGCCTCCTGACAAGCAAAATCAATGAGGTAACCAGATTCACTTAATAGCCATGTTACTAACTTATCAATTGCAGTGATTCCTTTAACATAGCAACAGAAATTTTGGGTTTAATTATGGTTGAGGACTGCCTAAACATCTGATGATAATACAATCTGGCTAAAGGCATAATCTACATTTTGCTCGTTTTAAGGATTTAAACTGAGCAGCTTAAAAAACACCAGTTACTATAATGAAAGCAGGAAAACCGTGAGGAACAACCTATATTTTACTGATCTTAGACACACTTGAGCAGAGGTTCCCAACCTTTTGGGCACCAGGAGAGAGGTTTTTCCGTGGACCGGAGGGGGTGTGGTTTTGTGTGCTGCCTGCATCCCATGGATGGGGCTTTGCTTGTTTGTGCGGACTGGTTGCTGGCATGCCGCGGCCCAGTACCAGTCCACAGATCGAGGGTTGGGGACCCGTGCACTTGAGTATTGTACATTTTTACCATTTTAATGCACATTCGCTCTTGCCTGTAAGAACACAGGTAGTCCTTGAGCTACAACAGTAATTGAGCCCTGAAGTTTGACGGTCATAAAATAGGTTACCAAGTGACCGGACCCAATTTTATGATCTTTTTTTTTGCAGTGGTTGTTAAACAAACACCATGGTTATAAAGTGAATGCCACTGTCATTAAGCAAACACCATGGTTGTTAAGTTAACCTATTGTTCACTATGGTGCAGTTTTTGCTGGAAACTGCTAGTAAAACACTAGTATCTGGTAAAAAAATATCGTAAATCGTGGTCATAGGACAGTGGGGCATTTCAAAAAAAACACTTAAGGGTGGGCTGGTTGCCAAGGATGCAAAATGCAGTCATGTGACTGTGAGGGAAGAGTGACATCAGAATTTAAAATATGTGTTGTGAGTAGTTTTTTTGGATTCCGTCTTAACTTCAATCAAATTCGTAAAACAGTCATAAGGCGAGGGCTACAGGTAGTCCTCGACTTAAGTTCATTTAGGGACCATTCAAAGTTACAATGGCACTGAAAAAGTGGCTTATGACCATTTTTTACACTTAACAACCGTTGCAGCCTCCCAGTGGTCATATGATCAAAATTTGGATATTTGGCAACTGCTCATATTTACGATGGTTGCAGCGTCCGAGGGGGGGGTCACGCGATCCCCTTTTGCGACCTTCTGCCAAGCGACATCAATAGGGAAGCCAGATTCACTTAACAATTGTGATACTAATTTAACAACTGCAGTGATTTACTTAACAACTGTGTAAAATGGGGGCAAAACTCGCTTCACGAATGTCTTACTTAACAACAGAAACGTTGGGCTCAGTTGTGGTTGTAAGTCAAGGACTGGCTGTACCTGTATTAATTCCAACCCTTGCCTTCTGGATTGAATTCTGTATCTATTAATGCTGTAAGATAGAAATGTAAGTAAACTGAAGCTTTCAATGGGCAGAACTATGGAGCACAATGGCGTTTTAGAAAGCAAGTTTGCAAATTTGTTTTATGAGGTTGACTTTAGTCCTTGTTTGTGGGTTCAGTGAGATGTGCCAACCATCTTACCTCTTGGCTACAGCCTCTTAATCCTTGTTTTGGTTCTTCTGAGCCAAGCTCACAACTGCTGGACTTTCTGGTGCTATGAATTCCAGTCCTGTTAATTTTTTTTAACAACATTGTTTATCCAAAGATAATAAGGAGGAGCCCTCAATGTCCCCAACAGTGTCTAGTTTGCATTTCGGTCAGAGATTATAGGCATTCTAGAAATATGTGTAAAGAATATTTGAAGGTATAAATTGTAACTTGTTCATCTCACTTTCTAAGTTTTTCTCCTATACTTCCCCCTGAGTTGAACTGGATTTCCTGACTTGTGGTTTTCAGTGTTTCTTTTGTGACAGTTATGCACAGCTTTTGCCGTCGATATATTATTGTGTTCTTGTGTTCTTTCTCCATCTATGTTGATATGTAAATAGATGTGAATTATTCCTCAGGTGCCTTGATTTCATTTTTGCTGATTTCTCTGGCTGTGATTTATATGCACAAAAGAGAATAAAACAGACCAAAAACATGAACAAAGAGAATGAATACATTGACTTTATATCCGTGGAAATCAAATTGGGGCCTAGGTAACTGAAATCTGTTGCGTTCAGTGGGCCTATTGCAAATACAGTGGAAAGGGTCCATGCTAATGTCTGTATTTTGTACAATTTGTTAAGAAAAAGAAAAAAGAAAATGCATAGCCCATCAAGAAAGAAGTACCAGAAATTCTGCTTTTGCAATAATGGCGAATATCTATAGCTCCCTAAACTCCACTGAATATGTTATCTAGCCTCGTAATCAATCCACTAGTTCGGAGAACAAACCTTCACCTTCACCTCTGCTTTTTTTAAAAAAAAAAATGCAAGTTCATTAATATCTTTACGCACAGGGATTCTATTTTTCCCCTACCTAGGAAAATAGAATTAAGATTGCACATTGTCTGAGGCAGGGGACCTCAAACTTGGCCCTTTTATGACTTGTGGACTTCAACTCCCAGAATTCCTCAGCCAGGCAGTGTGTGTGTGTGTGTGTGGAGGGACCTTTACATGGGCGCCCACGTGAACAGGGCCGCATGTGCGCATAAACAGGCCATGATTGCGTGTGTGAAACAAGCAGGGCCACAAGCACCCGCGCAACACAACGCTTGGGCAACACTAGTGCCCATGCGATGCTAGCACGAGTGGAGGGAGTGTGCGCTCACAGCGGCAGTAATGCTTCCCCGATGCTAGTGTGATTGGGTGGAGTGTGCGCTCGTAGCGATTATAGCACCTGCACGAGTGGGGGAGTGCGCTCGTGGCATCAATAGCGGCCACACGATACTCACAGCATCACTAGCACCAGCATGACAACGCAATACTAGCACAGGTTGGGTGCGCTTGTGGAGTAGTGCCCACACAACACGTGATGCTAGTGCGAGTGGGGGAATGCGAGCATACACATGTGCGTGCTCTTGGCAGCCACTCATGCAGTCCAGTAGTAAACAGTTCACGGCACGGTAGTGGGCCGTGGCCCACAGGTTAGGGACCTCTAGTCTAAAGAACAGAAACTAATCTCAGGACCTACTACTATACGGACTTACTGTCTTTTAATTTAAATTGGCCTGAACCTGGATTAGCCATTCGACATTTCGAAAAAGTTAAGAGTTCTTTGCTGTTCATTGACCACTAATTCACAGGGTACCTTAAATAGACGCCCCATCAATTGACAACTAAAATGGACTCAGAAGTGATTGAAATAAATTCTGTAGATATACTCATAAATTGTTCTATCCCTGTTAACAGAATCCTTCTCATTGTGTGTCTTTCTGTGTTCTGAGGGGTCCTTGGTGTTCTGTGAGCTTTGTTGTTTTCTTGCAGATGTCTCATTACGCAAACCAGGTAACATGATCAGTTGTCACTGGAACATCTGCAAGAAAACAGCCAAGCTCATTTCAACCCTGAGCTACAAATATTCTCCTTTACTTGTGTGTTGTGTTTGCATCTCGGCTTGAAGGTAAAAGGAGGCTTCAAAAGTAGGAGTTTCATTTATTTTCAGAATGCAAACACATCAGTGTCCTGTTCATACAATACTACATGAAAGCACTATGTTAAGACTGTTTGTGCCAGACTTCAGGTTTGCCAACGCAGCTGCCATGGACATTTGGAAGGCGAGCTCCGTCTTCCACGTCCAATTTTGCTTCGGTGGGGGACCCTGGAAAGGGTCGAAAGTCACCCTGTAGGGCAGTGGTTCTCAACCTTTCTAATGCCGCGACCCCATAATACATTTCCCCATGTTGTGGTGACCCCCAACCACTTATATATCACCAGGTGCCAGGGGTCTGGCCAAAGAAAAGGGGAAAAAAATGGTGGACAGCCTTGTTTGGCGACCCCCGTGAAATGGTCATTCGACCCCAAATGGGGTCCCGACCCACAGGTTGAGAACCATTGCTGTAGGGGCAACCAACAAGGAGGGAATCCCCGCTCATTCCGGGGCAGCTCTCCAAACCGACGGACGAAAGACTGGCCATAGAAATATGGCTCGTCATTAGGCTGCAGACAGCCAAAGTCACATTTACCATCAAGCAACTATAAAGCAGCGCAGATGAGACTGGGTGAGATCTACCTCTCTTAAATTCTAACTATCTTTTTTTTTACCTGCATAAGCTGCTCAAAGTGCTTTCCCCCCTGTGGAGAGGAAATGGAGATTCTATCCCTCCCTCTAAATACAGCAGCGAATGATCATCCAGGGGAGTTTAAAACGTTGCAAGAATAACTTGATCCTAATTGGAATTCTATTTTTTTTTAAAGTAGTGGACTAAAAGATTTTTTATTCTTACTGAAGATCTGGGTTTTTACTTATAAAAAAGAAGTAAAATTGAAAAAATTACAAAAATTTTGGACTGAAAAGAAAACTCTAAATGGTATGGGTGACATCTTGTGGTTAAACCTGATATTACAGCTTGTTATTGCTTAAAAGAGATTTGACCAGTAACCCAGATTATAGATAAAGACTTTTGTAACCTTGAGATATCAGCTGTAAGAAGCCCAGCTGTGATTTATACTTAGTGGCAAAAAAGTTTCTGTATTCTCTGACTGTAAAGCTTTTAACGTAATACACTACTAAAAGAATATGGATGAAGATCAGATCTCTTTATGTTGAAAGCAATTTATGAAACTATTCTTACTGCTACTGATGAAATAAGAGGTTACAGAAAAGAACAAGATGTCAGCCCAGATATACAAATGCAAACTTTGATTACAACTAAAAAAATCAACTACACAGAATATAATAGAAAAAGTGGAACAATTAAATATTATGACAGAAGATTCAACTGACCAATAAACACAATTAATGGAAAATCCAGAAAAGGGACTGACAACATGGAAAAGGGAAAAGGCTTCCTACATAAATTAGAAGGAACCTGAGGATCAAGAAGAACAACAGACTGAAGAAAAGATAAACAGTTCAGGACAACTACGTCGAGATGGAAAAATAGAGAGACGATCTGTTAGTCCTCTCAAAAAAACAGCGACCAAATGGCTCTTTCTACGTCAAACAATATACATAACAACACAGGGAGATTTAGTTGATGACTCAAAAGCACGGACATGGAAGACAATTTAGCAAAGAAAGAAAACTAGAATAAGACTGAAGAAAATTGGGGTTTTGACTTATCAGTAAGAATTAAAATAGAACATACTCAAATAGATGTGTACTTTGAATACTAGATATTATTATGAGTTGAGATAAAGAAAACTTTGGAAGTATAAATATTAACAGTTAAATTTGAACATTGATTTGATAATAAAGATTAAATGTAAAGGTAATTAAGATATATATAAGCTAAAAATCTATTGATGACTGTAATAAATGTGTTTTTACTTAGCAGTAATAATAAAAACTACTAGTTCAAATATGAGATATTAAATATTAAGAGAAAAGGAGAGGAAGTATTAAATGTTGAAATAAGAGAAATTTTGGTTACTAAATTTAAGAAATTTGGAAAGTATTAGAAAATAAGAATGTTATATTGTATTATTAATTAGATGTAAATGGTAAGAATTCAAATAGATAAGACATGTATCTTGAACACTAGTTCTTGTGATGAATTGTGATAAAGGGAATTGGGGTTATTTAAAACTTGGAAATTGTAAATTTAAATGTTAAATTTAAATATTGGGAAACTAAAAATTGGGAAAAACTAATTAGGACATTGATTGTCTAAAATGATTGAATGTTAGAATTGTATTGGTTTAAATATGAGACAGTAAATACCAAGGGGAAAGGAGAGGAAATATTTAATGTAATAGTTTGAGATCTGTACTAAAGATATTTGTATGTTATTGAATTATTGATCAACTCAGCCGCCACGTTGCTTTTCAAATATTTAAATGTAAAACTAGAAAATCAGTAAAATTTTTAAAAAAAGATTGTTTGTGCCAACTTGCAATTGGATTTTAGTTTACAATGTTGAACGACACATGGGTGGTTTTGTGTTTTGGAGTTCGCGGCATTGAAGCAAGACACATGTTGTAATTAAGCACTTCTTTATTCATTCCTTACTCAACTCAACTCTG